GGACTAATGAACCGCTGCCCATTATGCCTCACATTACACTTGTGGAATGCAAATGGGTAGCGGTTTGGAGTGTGAACCGTTGCTCATTCCCTCTAAATGGAAAGCGGTTTGAAACGCTGCCCATTACAAGGGGTAATGGGCGACCCCCTTAGCCCCAGCTGTTCAAAACAGCTTCCCATTAGGGGTTTTGAACCGTTTGAAAATTGCTTTTTTCTACTAGTGCACAAAATTAATTTCTAACCCACCCTCTTCTCTTTTTAAACCACCACCACCATCCTCGAAAACTCAAACATACCGTGTTTGTCATAAAATATCCGTTGTAGTTCATACCTTCACCCTCCTCGAAAACTGCATCCTATATACTTCCTCCTTAACGATTATTTGTAACAAATGTACTTTTCGCGGAGGCCTAGGCAAAAATTTAAAGGCATGATTAATGAAAAGTAAGGGCCCTTGGTTAAGTATTAATCCTACCTAAAAAAAAAAACAATTAAACAAAAGCATATCACCACCGAAACCCAAAACCAAAACCACCACCAAAACCACCGACAACCACTAGAACCAACCAAACCCATCAACACTCAAAACCCAAAACACCACCAAAACCACCAAAACCCAACCACAAACCCAACAAACCACCCACGAACCCAGAAAACCTAAAACCCAAAATCACCAAAACCACCGACACCCACAACTAACCACCACCAATACCCAGGAACCACCAAAGCCACCGAAACCCACAACCCAAAACCACCACCAAAACTATCGGAATCCAACGACGAACCCAGCAAAACCACCGACGAACCCTTCAAACCCACCCACAAACCACCAAATCCTTCGAGTACCACCAAAATCAACCCTTCAAACCCACCCACAAACCACCAAATCCAACCACGAACCACCGACGAACCTTTCAAACCCACCCACAAACCACCAAATCCAACCACAAACCACCGAAACCTTTCGATTACCACCAAAACCAACCCCCACGAACCTAGCAAACTCACCCACGATGCACCTCCACAAACCTGCTAACCCACCCACAAACCACCAAATCCAACCACAAATACAAGCAAACCATCGACAAACAACCAGATCTGGAACCTCCTTTAACAAAGGTTTGGAATTTGATGAGAGATGAAGAAAAGGAAATGAGAGATGAAGGAGGAGAGAGAAAGATGATTGGGAAGAAAAATTGAGATTAATCTGATTATTAGGGTGGGAAGACATACATAATTAATTTAGATTAGAGTTATAATGATTCGTAATTATGTGTAGTGATATGTGTTAATAATTTTTAAATGAGGGTATTTTTGTCATTTGACAGAAAAAAGTTACTAAAATAGAAAAGAAATAGGCTTGTTGCAAATAATAGTTAGCACCCATTTTTAGTATATGTTGCAAATAATCGTTAACGGAGGTAGTATATATATATATAGGGTCGGGATCCGGTGAGAACCACCCTTTATGTGAGAACTCACACCTTATGTGAGGACAAATCTCAGCCGCTAGATTACATCAAATCCAACAGCTGAGATTTTCTCTCTCCTTTTTAGATTTTCTCTCTTTTCCTCCAGGTTCTCTGATATTCACGCTCTTCAATTTCTTTGCTTTTGCTCATCAATTTCTCGCGATAATCTGTTAAGGTATGTAAATTTCAGTTTAATTTTGAATTTGATCGATTTGAAACATGTTTTTGCGATTTTGATTTCGAAAATTAGGTTTTTTGCCAAAATCTGGTTATGCGATTTTTGATTGGGAAAATTCGAAACATCACAAAATTTTCATCATCCTTTGCTGTTGTAAGTTAATTTGATTTTGATTTTCGTTGTTGTCTATGATTTAATTCGAATTTTAAATCAAGATTGTGCGATTTTGATTACAAAAATTTGGGTTTCACATTTTTTAATTTCGATTTTAGTATTCCAAAAATTTTTGAATTTGAATGTTAGTAGTGGTCAGCAAGAATTGTACATACTATAATCATATTGAGCATACTATACAGACCAAAAAATGATTGTTATAAGTTCTATCAGCATAGATTTTGGCTGATGTTAGTAGTGCAATATGCTGGACTCCTGGATTAAATTTCAATTCATGGTATTCTTTGTGCTAAAAAGTATTCTTTGTACATTCTGCAGCAAGTCACTGACAATACCTGGTATCGAGTTTGCAAGTTAGCAAATTTTCGAGAATTAGACACCTTATTGCTTTGTTCTTGGAAGATGTAAGTGTACATATACACAGTATATGCTTGCGGACATTGGTAAGCGAGAATATTATAATCTGGTTGTTGATGATATATTTAGTCTACATATATGTACTGATAATGCTTCATACTTCATGTTAAACAGAGATTCATAATTTCATACTTACAATTGCAAGTATTATTGGTGTTTTGATTGTGTTTCCTACCATTGTTGTTCTGATAAAATTCAATAACTTCTCTGGTTAGATTGATTCTTCCAAATAGTGTTGATTACAAATTTTGTGAACAATTTCTGATTTAGTGGTCTGCCATTATTGAGATGTTCTTGTTTGAGATTCTTTCTTCTTCATTACAACAGTTGTAATCTAGGAAAACTCAAATGAAACATGCTTTTTAATTAGATATGATTATCTATACGAATGATTTTTATTGTTTGAATGTGTACATGCATAGTGGGAAACTGGAAATGTGGGGATGTCAGCTAATAATGAAAACTGAAGACTGCAAATCTATCTAGAACATACAATGATTTCAAGGGCATTTCATGGTTTTACTCATAGTAAGAAGTATGTCTTTCTCAAGTGACTGCAAACTGAAATGGCGTTTGTGTTCATATTTTCAAGAAGTCTGGTTGAGCTAGTGTGACTATTTTGTTCGTCAGAGTAGTAGGTTGTTGGTGGATTCATCCTTTTTCTGTAAGTAAAGTAGCTTTGATTTTGCGTTGTTAATATAAATCAGAACCTGAATTTTGCTGTAAACAATTGATAATCCTGGTTTGTAGTTGTTGTAATTTGGGATTGTTGTGTTGTATGGATTATGCTAGATTAATGAATTATTAATGTAATTAAACATAATTGAACCCTGTGTAATTGGATAAGTAATGCATGTTTTGGTATGTTGAGTTGTTTATTGGTAGAAGTAGCAAGACTTATTTGTTGTGGCCTTGGCGTTGTGTGAATGGTGTGGGCTATCTGTGGCCAGGGAGGATGGGTGTGATGCTGTGTCGCTAGCTGTTGTTGAGTGCGTTAGGTAGTTGGGCATGTGGTGTATTGCAGGATAGCTGAGGCTAGCATCAAGTGGATGGTAAAATGAGCAACCATTAGTTTGCTCATTTGTCAAATAAGCAAATAATTAGTTACTCATTTGTAAAATAAGCAAACATTTATTTGATCATTTGGAAAATGAGCAATCGATTTTATGCTCATTTAGCAAATGAGCAAATTTATTTACTCATTTGTAAAATAAGCAAACATGTCTTTGATTATTTGGGAAATGAGCAATCAATTTTTTACTCATTCAGCAAATAAGCAAATAGTTAGTTGCTCATTTGTCAAATGAGCAATTAATTAGTTGCTCATTTGTCAAATGAGCAAATACTTAGTTGCTAATTTAACAAATGAGCAAAAGCTTAGTTAAATAGTTAGTTGCTCATTTCTCAAATGAGCAAACATTTCTTTAATTATTCATTAAATCAACAAGTATTTTTTTGCTCATTTGATACAATTCTTTGTTCATTTTATCAAATGAGCAAACAATTCTTTGTTGATTTATCAAATGAGCTGATTAAAAATTTATAACATAGAAAATAATTTAAAACATATGATAAACTTATTAGCTCAATTTGTAGAGCATTATGCAAATGCATAAGGGATGTAGCTTCAATTCCTACATAGGTTATCTCTATAAACAAAATTAATTAAAAAAAAAAATCAGATTCGTACTAAATTATATGAGCAAATAAATGGTTTAAAATGATTTATAATTATATAAACTTTGTTACAATTAAACTCTCATACAAACTTGTGTTTCCACATTACATAAATGAACCTACGTGGGATTCAAACCCACATCTTTTGTGCATTTGCACAATGCTCTACCCTTGAGCTAGTAGGCTAACATATTTAAAACATTCAAATACACTCACAAATGAGCATTAATTTGACAAAATGAGCAAGAATCATTTGCTCATTTGACAAATGAGCATTAAATAGTTTGCTCATTTGACAAAGGAGCATTGAATTTTTTTTGCTCATTTGACAAATTAATGCTCTGATGAAGCTAGATAGGCTCTAATCAAAATTGTTTAGTTTGTGTTGATGCAAATGAGACTCGATCTTAGGCAGTTGAACAAATGATATTTGCTTGTAACTTTGTGAGTAGTATATGATATGTTGTGATACAGTAGTATGTTGTGTTTGCTTTTACTATTATACCAGCTAAGAGCATGATTTTCATCTCTTTACAGTGACTCAACAAGGAGTCAGGATGCAAGAGGACAAAAGCAACTTATATCAACTTTTAAAGCAGATGGATACATGTCCAAATTTTAATGGTAACACGCAAGAAAAAGTCCTAGAATTAGACTAAAACATTTGCAGATTCTAATTACAACACACCAGAGAAAGTCCTAGAAACAAATAGATACATTTCCAAACATGAAGATACACTCATCAGTAAAAAAAAATACTTGGGTACTTGTCTACTTTATTTGTTCATTTGTCAAATGAGCAAATAATTGTTTGCTTATTTTTGCTCATTTGATAAATGAGCAAAAAATTATTTGCACATTTTTGCCCATTTGTAAAATGAGCAAATAGTTTGTTGCTCATTTGTCAAATGAGCAAACATTTCTTTAATCATTCATTAAATCAGCAAGCATTTCTTTGCTCATTTGTAAAATGAGCAAGCATTAGTTTGCTCATTTGTCAAATGAGCAAATAATTAGTTACTCATTTGGAAAATAAGCAAACATTTCTTTGATCATTTGGGAAATGAGTAATCACTTTTTTGCTCATTTAGCAAATGAGCAAATAGTTAGTTGCTCATTTGTCAAATGAGCAAATACTTAGTGCTAATTTAACAAATGACTGCAACTCCAAACTAAACATACATTTAATGTCGCGTCAGGCCTCATGCTCCAGAAAAGTAAGGCATCACCCATCTTTGGTTTTACAGATAAGCCCCTTTTAGCACATTCAGACCGCTCATTCCACCCAGGCAGGGAACTAAAATTCTCCTGAGAAGCTAGAAAAACAGTTTCACCACCCTCTTCAACATATGATCTGCATTGAGAATACCAGCAAAAGTTAGAAGTGGAAAAGAGAACACACTCAATGGGTGAAGCATGAGTTCAATTCTAGTGAGCTATGGTCCCAATGTGTTGGTTTAGAGATCTTACAAGTACATTAGAACAGTAGCAATAATCCTTAGGCCACCAATTTTCTTGTTGAATTCATCAAGAAAGTAATCATAGTGTGGTTCGTAATTCTGACCTTCTTCATAGTGAAGAATCTGCAATTCCTCAGCATGCTCTGTAAATACAGAGAAGCAAAAAATGGAAAGAAACCGACAGGTTATGAATCCCATTATAAATTAAATAACAATAATAATAAGTAAAACGAAGTAAATAATTAATCTAAAGGGAGATGATTTAAGGGTTTTCCACGAAAACATATACAAAATTACATTAGTAATCACTCTCATCAAGACAACTAAAGGTAAAAACCACAAACCCAAAGAATCAAAATCTACTATTTTTTTTTAGTCAAGAAGTTCAGAAGTTGGAATTCTTAGTAAAAACTTTTAGGTGTTGCTTCCGATGTGTAGAGGTTCAACGGCTACCTCAAGACAATCCCAATATTCTTTATAGCAATACATAATAAGTCAGGAAGCATATATTTGGCTACTTACTGAATTCTGACTACAAACGGTTGAGCATATATAAAGCCTCAATAGTTTCAAATTCAATGTTTGTTGTGGATTGCCTATTAAAAATTTTAGTGATATGTTGGAGGTAACACTACTACCTTTTAGTCTCCCTAAAAACCAAGAATAGTTAAGCTTATACTAGCATAATTGCAGTTCTTTTTGTTAAATGTTAGACTTGTCAAAGCATCACTTTTTACATCAAATTCATAAATTCAATGTAAAACCAAAACCAGACAAACTGCTGCCTAAATGATAAAACAAGAGCAAAGATATAGCCAAAGATACCTGAGTAATCACTAAAAAAAAACGCCAATGGAGTTACAAAATATTGAAGAATAGTATATTATATGCAGACAAATGTCAAATCAAATGCACTATGTATTAGAAATAGCTTTGAAATTCACATGACAGAACATTGTTGAAACAACATCATTAATGGAAAACTGCAACAGATCAACAACCGAGCAGTCCAAGAGATCAGATAATAACTTGGACTCAAGATAACTAGTAATAATCTAGAACAATCAAACAATTAGTCGACCCAACTCCATTTCAACAGCATGTTAAGAACATCTTTAGTCTTTCATTACAGAGTAGTATCAATTGTCAATTAAACATTGAAAAACTGAAGGGAAGTACAAAACAACAAATTATGTACCATATCTAATGAATGAACATCAAATAAAATGACCACAATCACAGCAAACTGCTATAATTACCCAGAAAAAAAGTGAAACAGAGTATTTGTAGCACTAGTCCACCAACCAAAGACTGTGAATTACCCAAATTTAACAAGTCAATTATCTTTAGTGCTCGGTTTTGGCATGTTAAATGCCAAGAACTCAGTTTGGTAAAATTACAAGTATTGTCAATGTAACCAAATGCTGCCAATTAAACCGAAATCAAAGACCACCATATTAACTGTATAGTTGATCTGAAGAGGTAGCAAGAATTGCAAAAGGTTAATATATCTAAGATGATTAGCAAACCAAAAGAGAAATAGATAACATATTCAAATTAGTTATGGTTTAGAAATAATAGATGCCAAAGTATTCAAAATTAAAGATCAACATAGAAAGTAAGGAGCATACTGAAAGGAAAATTCATAAATTACAATGAAGTAAATCGTGTAGAATACAACAATAGTCCAATATCTTCCTAAGTATGAATCTGCTATGATACCTACAATAATTGTAGTTAGTAAAAAAGTTCCTAACCATGCTGTTACATTCCTAGCCACAAATACATTTTCGATCAGAATACATGAATAATCAAACAAAAAAACGAACTGAATAATGGTACAAAAAAAATTGAACAGAAATAAGATGAAATTAAAATCGAAAGTAACAAAACAATAAAAAATGGAACAAAAATAGACCAAAAAAATCGCCCAGAAATCGCATAAATTCGATCAAAAAATCGCTCAAAAAAATCGCTCTGAAATGCGCTCATGAAATTGCTCAGAAATCACATAAATTTGATTAAAAAAATCGCTCTGAAATCGCATAAAATCAATTAAAATCGAACATAAATAAAAAATGAAGCATAAATCAAACATAAAAAAAGCATATAAATCACAAAAATCAGGGAAAATATTGAGAAAAAACGCATAAAAAATGCAACATAATCATGAGAATATATAAAATAGAATATAATGAATAGAAAGAATTGAATCATAAAAATTGAATAACAAACCTTTATTTCTTGAGGTAAACCCTAATTTCTGAAAGGAATTTGCACCCAAAATTATGAGAGGAGAGAGCTGTTTGATGTAAGTCTAGAGAGAGAAAAAGAAAGGGGAAAGAAACCTGCGATCGTGAATGAGGAGAAAGAAAGGGGAAAGTGTGCATCAAAAATTACAAAAATGCCATTACTAATCAATTTATTTTGAGTGGTCAGATCAAATCCAATCGTACGGTCCAGATTAGTTCTTACATATAATGGGTTCTTACATAGAGGAGGGGTTCTCACATGATCCCATTTATATATATATATATATATATATATATATATATATATATATATATATATAGGATTTGATATAGTTAGAGGAATGGGGTCAGATTGTATCTCGACTTTATAGGTTGCATTACTTTCTTAGTTTTTGAGATATTATAATAATAATAATAATAATAATAATAATAATAATAATAATAATGCACGTTAATTAAAAAAAAAAAAAACAAACTGCCTAAAAATTTCAACCATCTTAGGCTGAACTGCCTAGAATTTTCAAAATAACCTAGGTTGTCAGAACCGCCTAGTTTTTTCAAGCAACCTAGGTTGTTTTGAAAATTCTAGGCAGTTCAGCCTAGGGTGGTTGAAATTTTAGGCATTTGCTTGGAAATTCGTAAAAAAAATTAATAACGCACCGAGTTCGTACGCTCCGGTGAGCCACCGGCGAGCATAGTGTGGCATCCTCGGTACCTCGTCGTTGCCCATTAGATCTTGCAAAAGTGAAATTGTTTGGTTGATTATGAACGTTTTGGTATGGTTCTTGGTGGTTGAGCGGTGGTTGTTGGTGGTCGGACCACTAAACAGTGCAACCTAAATAATTGTGGAGAGTGAAAGTGGTAACTGGTAGGTTGAGGTAAATTTAGTGAGTATTAAAACAAGGATATGAACGTCTTTTTAGGTTATTTTGTGGGGGTTACCTAGAGATTTGAGAGGGACGTTTAGCGTTCCATTTTTTAAAATTTTTTTTTTTATCAGTTTATCTATAACCGCGACTCATAAAGCTCTCACATAAAGTGATTTTTTTTTTAGAATTATAAAACCTTATGTTGAAACTAGTTTATATACTTCTATGATTCACTATCGACTTATGTTCAGAGGTTGAGATTTATTATCTTTCAATTACACCAATTAAAGCTAATAACCTATTGATTGTCTCAATTACTATGTTTAGATTAACTCAAATATCTTGAGAGTTAGTGAAATGGTCGCGTTTAGATGACCTTAATTTTGTTTATTTAATCTAATTTGAATTTATTTTGTATTCTTTTCCGAATTATTGATTTGAATCAATACTATATTCTGTATTTTATTAATATGTAATTTTTATAATTTTTTTCATTACGAAATTAATGATATTTAACGATAAAAACTCGCACAAGGAAGAATTCGAATAACCTAATATACGAAGTTTCCTATGATAGATCTTATTTTCCTAATATAATCTGAACTTATTTTTCCTAATATGATATGAAATAAGTAAAAATAAGGTGGACATACGGGAAAACATTTGGTAAGACACTAAGAACCGATGACAGATGTAGCACTATTCACTATTCCCTAATTTTTTTGCTTGCAAAGATATGGGTCGAACTTTATTATTTTTTACCAGAACATACTCTTAAATAGATAAGATAATCGCCATTTGAGATCTTATTAAATTCATCGCATTGTATATTTTATTAATACAAAGTATTTAGGTTTTTATAATTTTTAATCCTACGAAGTATAAAATTAGAGATAAACCGTTTTAAAACACGTCTTGAACACAGTAAAAAGTTACTCGGGTGGGACGGATGGAATAGTTTCGGGTGTATGTTCTAATTTGGGATTATTGGGTTAATAGGTAATACGTCTCCAGCTTTCCCCTGTTGACACCCTTACTATCTCAACAGTATAATCAAGCTTGGCGATAATGAGCTGCTCGTCCAGAATTCTTGCCTCCTTGGGTCGTCTTGGTGATCTGCCTTTTGATTTCTTATGAAGGTATGTTTTCAACTCAACATTGTTAGGCTACTTACTAAAATTACTTTATTTATTATCTTTCACTCTCCCATTCTTAAGGGTTCTCCGGTTGGAGATGTGTAACCTTCCCTCTAGAGTTCCATGCCCACTTTCATACAAAAACTCCACGACCACTCTTTCATATCTTAATCTTGCTGTAAATGATTTGAATGATTCATCAATATTCCAAATTGTTAACTGTATCTAATATGAATCTAATATGATTGCATTGAATGTAACATAATCACACATATGCAGCAGACTGAGATTCGGGGCAAGAGGAATCGACTGATTTTGCTCACGGCCTACCTAATACGAGCTTCTCCAAAGAGCACAAAATGAAAAGTCCTTTGTTCAGATTCTTGTTTTAGATGCTCTTAGCATTGCTAGGATGTTTGAGTTCTGTAATTTCTTGTTCTGTCCTACAGTATGTAATAGAGCGGCACATTTCATTGTTAAGTCTCTCTCGCTTACAATGAACTGAGGGTCTGGATGGAGGAATGCCCTCCGGTTGTCCGGAATGTTCACCATTATCATTATTTATTCGTTTAAAAGATTAAGGTCTATGTTAACAAAATTTATCATATCTAATAATAAACTTTATCACCACTACTTTTAAAATCCTATATGAACTCATCTAATGTCCCCCTTGATGAACGATGATCATAGTCAACCAGTCATAAGTGTTAATTTTGCAAGGATGTTAATTTTGCAAGGGGACGGGTTTAATGATTATATTTTCACCGTGTTCATAATATGAAAAAATGTTGGTTAAACAAATACATATAGTTTCACATATTTTATTTTTTTTCTATTTTCCTTCAAGAATTGGTTTGTATATGTTTATTTAAATAAACAATTTACAAAATATACCGTGTTTATGAATAGAAACCCGTGCATCGCATGGGCTTAAATCTAGTACTACATATTTTCCTTGGTTTTTCTTGCTTGCTTCACCATTAATGGAGAAAATTATATAATACTCCATCTTTGTCGTCATTAAAAAACTTTAATTGATTTACATGCTTCACCATTAATGGAGAAATCTCACAGGCAAAGGAAAAATTAGCTTTAATGGAGAAATCACTAGAGGAGGAAAAACTCGCTTACCCTTAAGGGTTAATCATGCCATTTATTTCTCCATTTTTTTATTAGGTTATATATTTGTTTAATTCAGCAGCTATGTGGTGCCGGTGTCGATGGTAATAAGTGTTGGATTGTCGATTATGAAAATGTTGAGGTTAGTGGTCGGTAGTAAAGTCGAAGTTGGGGAACATAGGTGAATAGAAGGACGAAAGATGTTGAAGAAGATGAAGGGCGGATAGGAGGAAGAAGATGAATAGCTTGGTCTTCTAATGCCGTTAACTGCATGTGGCAACACATTTGCACAAACAGTAGAAATATTATTTTAAATTCAGCAATACAATTTTTAATGCAATATATTTACAAAAATGCCTTCGTAAAAAACTAAATGTGAGAAACTGGGCACGCCTCTTAAAATAGGTATTTTAAAGTAATAGAATGAAAGTTCATTACTAAGTTAAAAACTTAATTACAACAAAGGATATCAACAGATAACCTTCTAAAACTCCAACGACTGAAAAAATCGAATGAGGAAACAACAAATAAACTACAAGCTCTGACCTACCCTATGAACTAGACCATGCCGCAATGGCAATATATCCCCCCAAAAAAACCCAAACTCGCATATCCAAAATTTCAAAATGGATTTATTTGAATACGTAGAAGATTTGAAGTGCTCCATATGAGATAAAGCACATTATTACAAATAGTTATTACCGTGATAGTGAAGGACAATAAAATCTGAATTTTCCAATTTGAAAAAGTCTAAAGGACCCCATTATCAAACACGCTAAGAAGACTTTTTTTTTTTTTTTTTTTTTTGAGGGCAGAAGACTTGAAGTCAACTAAAGACAAAAATGGAGAATTTTCAAATCTAAATATTTTCTATTTATAGTTTTTTCTATTTTTATAATATTTTTTCTTCCTAAGAAAATAATTAGATGGGAAATTCCACGCCATTTAGTTTTGTTGTAATTAGAAGTATAAGAAAATTCTTGGTTTTTATTTCCTTGGAATAGTATTCCATAACTATATCTAAAGGGAAAGACTTGAAGTCAACTTAGTGAGCAAATAAGATCAGACATTAATTTGTGGGTTTGGTAGAATTTTCTAAGAAACCGATGTGTAGGGCTGTAGACTTCCATAGCATTTTGTACACGAAGTATTTTTTTTAAGGAAAATAAATATTTGTATATTTGATTATTAATATATTTAATTACTTATTAATGAACATTGTAAGAAAAAAAAAATTAGTGATAGCTCACATTACATTTTTTTTTTGTATATATATATATATATATATTTTTTTTTTTGTGTAATTAATAAAAATTTTGGTCAAAGATTTTAACCTTTAATCACTAAAATAAAAATGAGAAGGTATTGGGTGCGGATTGCCGCACGAAAATTTGCGTGCAGCAGGCTTGGCTGATATATTTCAGTTGTTGGCTGATATGTTTCATGTGTTGGCTAATATGGTTTTTGTGTTGGCTAATATATTCCTTTTCTTGGCTGATATGTTTTTTTACTTTTATTTTTTATTTTTTTATTTTTGATATGTTCCTTTTGTTGGCTGCTATAAGACATCAGTAGGTTGATATGTTTCCTTAGTTGGCTAATATCTTTATTTTGTTGGCTGATATGTATATTTTAATTGTTGGCTTATATATTTTATTTTTTTTGCTTACCTGTTTTTTTGTTTGCTAATTTCATCCTTTTGTTGGTTGATATGCTTCATTTGTTGGCTAATATGTTCCTTCTGTTGGCTAATAAGTACCTTTTATTGGCTGATATATTCCTTTTGTTGGCTAATAAGTACCTTTTGTTGACTGATATATTCCTTTTGTTGGCTAATAAGTACCTTTTGTTGGTTGATATATTATTATTTATTTTCCTATATTGGGTGCGAACTGACCACACCCAATTTTGTGAATGAATATTAGCACTACATTATGTAGAACGAATGAAGTATTATATAGGAAGATAAATAATAAAATGAAAAAAAAGACATTGGAATTTAGTTAATTAAAGTGGATATATATATAAATAAAAAGCCAATGACAAGTAAAGGTTATACCGGGATCCCATGTTGAATTGTTGAGAGAAATAAGATCGAATCGGTAAAATTGGATTATAAAAATGTATGATCCTACAAAATTGGTAAAATGAGTAAACAAAGCAAACTGTTGCTACATAAATAGATACATCTTTCAAATATTAAAAATGCTAAAAGTTATTTAAGTAGTTGGATAGTCATTTCTAAGAAAATTGAAAAGGTTATTTAATAACTACGAATTTATTTGATATCGTTGTGATTTTCTGTGTTTTGCTTTTATTTGTTTTTTAAAATATATGACATGTGTCATACATATAACGAATTTAAAATTAGTTAAACTTATTAAAATCATTATAATTTTAAAAGCTGCAATAGAACCCATTGTTTGAAAAGGTTTTTTTTGAAATCATTGCTTTTATTTTCTGTAATTTTGAAAAGGTTTTTTGTTTTAAAAAAACTAAAAACTGAAAACAAAAATGATGTCAATTAAATATTGGATCGTTTGATCCTGATGAAGGCCTTGTTTACTTCACCTTAAAAAAATAATATTCAAAAATATTTTCAGTTTAGTAAAAATAATTTCAGTTTAGTAAAATTAATTTCATTTCAGTAAAAATCAGTAATTTTAAAGAATAAAATATAGGTGAAATGAGACCGCCAAATACTGTCTGCTTAGCTCTCTATTATGCTGACTTGTCCAAAGTAACAAAAACTATCCAAGTATATCCCTTCGTTGTCATTTGCTGTAACTTGTTATGATACCTTTCACGGAATACAATTCTAATGCTATCGTTATCATCATCTAGGAGTTACAAATTAATGCTACAATATTCTATATATACTTAGCACATAGATTAATAGATATTCATTCATTGATCTAGCCAAAGCTGGGTGACAATGAATTCTCATAAACTCATCCTTTCTTGTTTTTTGCTATTTTCCTACTTCATTTGTGTTGCTCATGGGATTGATACCATTAGCACCCACCACAAAAACGTCATGTGTATTGAGAAAGAGAGAGAAGCTTTGTTGAAATTCAAAGTGGGCATTCAAGTCGATCGTTGCGGGCTGCTGTCTTCTTGGGGAATTGATGATGACAACAAAAGAAATTGTTGTCAATGGCGTGGCATCCGTTGTAGCAACCAAACTGGCCACGTAATCAAGCTCGACCTTCATGGGGTCGTTGAAACTTTATTTTTAAAGGATCATTGTTTGCAAGGTAAAGTGAGTTCTTCCCTTGTTGATTTGAAGCATTTGAGTTACTTAGATCTCAGCCTTAACAATTTCGACCAACCCATCCCTAGTTTTGTTGGTTCCCTTGTGAGTTTGAAATACCTTAATCTATCCAGTGCTGGATTCAGTGGAGAAATTCCACACCAGCTCGGAAATCTATCCTCCTTGATTTCTCTTGATCTTAAGAATCACCTTTTTGTCAAAAACTTGTCTTGGCTCTCACATCTAAAATTGTTAAGATACATCGACATGAGTGGTATCAATCTTGAAAGAGCCATAGACTGGCTAAGAATCGTGAACGACCTCCCATTCTTAAGAGTTCTTCACTTGGAGTACTGTAACCTTCCCTCTAGAGTTCCATTGCCACTTTCATACAAAAACTCCACTACCACTCTTTCATATCTTAATCTTGCTGTAAATGATTTGAATGATTCATAAATATTCCAATGGCTTTTTAATTTGAGTGGAATCGACACTCACCTTGCACATGTTGATCTCAAATACAATCAACTTGATGGTCCCTTTCCAAGCGCATTTGGGAAGATGCATAATCTTTCACATCTAGACCTTTCCTTCAATGAATTGCAAGGTCCGATTCCAGACACGATTTCAAACTTACAATCACTCCAATATCTGGACCTCTCATTTAATAATTTTCAGCTCTCACAATTTCCTAAAATAGGCAATCTGTGTAGCTTACAAATACTCCACTTGGAAGAAGCCAACATCATCGATGAGCTTCCCAACATAATCCAAACACTAACCGGATGCGCAAACAAGTCCTTACTGCATTTATTTCTAAGTGATAATCAAATCTGGGGTCCAATTCCAGACACGGTTGGCACATTCTCATCATTACAACAATTATATCTTGATGATAACCGTTTGAATGGAACCATCAGTCCTCGTTTGGGGCAACTATCAATGCTCGAGACCTTGGATCTTTCTTCCAACTCTCTACATGGTACTCTCTGTAGCAGCCATTTCTCAAACCTGTCAAGATTATCGGTGTTAGACCTTTCAAATAATCCAGCACTGGTGCTCGATATTGAAGATGATTGGGTTCCTCCATTCCAGCTGGATACTATATCATTAATTTCCTGCATGTTGGGACCAAACTTTCCAAACTGGCTTGTGAGCCAAAATAACTATTCGTTTCTTGATATTTCTGCTGCTGGAATTTCAGACAGCATTCCGGATGTTTTTACATTGCCTTCAGAGCTCTCTTATCTTAATATGTCTCATAATATGATTTATGGAACACTTCCATATTTTGAAGTACCAACAACCACAGATTCTATAGATATGAGTTTTAACAATATTGAAGGTGCAATACCACCATTTCCAGTAAACCTTACCTCATTACACTTGAATAACAACAGGTTTTCCGACCCCGTCCTCTTTTTGTGTCCTAGAGGTGAAGTACGTCTATCCTATCTTGATCTCTCAAATAATTTGTTGTTCGGGAAACTTCCAGATTGTTGGATGAATTTCGAACAATTATCCATTCTCCATTTAGAGAATAATAACTTTTCTGGTGGTATACCACCTTCCATTAGTTATTTGAAGCAATTGGAGTCGTTGCACTTGCGCAACAATAGTTTTTCGGGAGAACTTCCAAGATCATTAGAGGATTGCACATCCCTAGTTTATCTTGATCTTGCTCATAATTCATTTACTGGACGTATATTGCCAGGTATTGGGACTAATCACAAAAACCTCGGTTTTCTAAGCCTTGGAAGCAATAATTTTGTTGGAGAAATACCTTTGAGCCTTTGTCAATTGCCCTCTCTTCAAATCTTGGATCTCGCTGTCAACCAAATTTCTGGAACCATTCCAAATTGCATTCGTAATCTTACAGCAATGCAAAGTACATCAGATATGATTCCACCATTGCAAAATAATCATACTTTTGGAATAATTGAGAGTACCATTCACTCTAGGGATTTAATTGTTTTTTCTATACTAAACACTGATGCTGCAACAATTATGTGGAAGCAATTAGAAAGGTCCTTTGGGGAGTATTTAGGACTAGTCAAGCTCATTGATCTTTCAAACAATAAGTTGGAAGGCAAAATTCCCATAGAAATTTCAGCCCTGCAAGGTCTTGTCTCGTTGAGCTTATCAAGAAACAGCTTGATTGGAAGCATCACACCGGAAATCGGACAATTGACAGCTTTAGAAGTTCTTGATTTGTCAAACAACCACCTCTCTGGTGAAATCCCTGAAAGCATCACTGCTTTGAACTATCTCAGCAACTTGGATTTGTCAAACAACCACTTCTCTGGAGAAATTCCGAAGGGCACTCAACTTCAAGGTTTCGATGCTTCAGTATATGCAGGAAATCCTCAACTTTGCGGAGCTCCTCTCCCGTACTGCTCTTGGGATCAGCCACACCACAACTCGACGAGGGGTGATAATACTACTCCCCACGATGACACTGATGATGACAAGATGTTTTTTGTGGGGTTGTACGTAAGTGTGGTGCTCGGATTTATCATAGGATTCTGGGGAGTTTGTGGAACATTGGTGCTCAAAAGATCTTGGAGACATGCCTTTTTTCAGTTCTTTGATGACATGAAAGATAGGCTCTATGTCATGGTTTCATTGAGCATTGCTAAACTTAAAAGGAGGCTCTAAATCCAGTGAGTTGTTAATCAATTTTTTTGTTGATCTTGACAGAATGTTATTGACTGTATTTATGATATATCTAATAAGTTTGAGATCCGTACTTTCACATTTCATTGCTAAGTCATCTGCCGCTTAGAATGAACTGAGGGTCTGGATGGAGGAAAGCCCTCCGGATGTTAGTCATGTAATCCTTGCTGAATTCATCTTAATAAAATCTATCCTGTTTTTCTGTTACCAAAAAAAAAAAGGTTCAACTCACCTTAGCTTGCTAAAGAATGTAATGTATCTGTAATGTAATATAATCGATGTGATTCTTACAATATTTTGCAATTAAAATTAAATTCTGAGTAAATTTATCAGCAAAATATTGTAAATATTCTCAGACTTGTTCAACTTGAGTGGGATCAACGCTCATCTTAGCTTGTGCACGTCGATCACTCTCATAACTCATCTTGATCTTTCTAACAATCAACTTGCTGGTCCTATTCCTACTGCTATTAGGAATATACGTTATCTTTCATATCTTTCAAGTTGGGTCTGAGTATAGTCTGGTACAAATCGAATTCGGGTCAAGTTAAATCCAGTTCATATGAATCGGATCCGAATTTTTATCAAGTTTAGTTGGATCAAAATGGATTTATTAGACTTTAGATCAGGTCATTTTAGATTCGATAAGATCTAGGTTCCAATCAATTCAATTTCGATTAAAATTTGGGTAGGCTTACTTCAATTATTAGCTCATTTTCGATTAGAATTATTTTAATTTTGATTGTTGGGTCGTGTAATATGAATTCAGGACAATCTCAGTATGAGTCATTTTAGTTTCAGGTATATTAGCATATAGGTAATATCATTTTTGTTACTGGAGATTTCAATTCATATTTACTCTGCATAATTTTTTTGGGTTTCATTTAAATTTTGTGTTGGCTTTTCAGAATTGGTATAAGTTTGACAACTCAAGTCATTACAAAAATTGATTACTTATCGCCTTATTTGGTGTTTATCATGTCATTGTAAAACGTCTTTTCTCTTACCATTTTGCATTTATCATCTTTCCGGCTGTTAATCATCTTCAATTATTCATTAGCAACTCATCGGTTATGGTCATGGAAAATTCAATTTGGCTTAGGTTATTATTAATAGGTTGGGTTTAATTAGACCATGAGTAGTTTCGAGTCGATTTTAATCAATACATAGGAAGTTTCAAGTTGGATAAATAAAGGTCGGGTAAAAAGAGATATTTTTCAAGTCTAAATGGTTTCAGGTAGTTAGTTTTCGGTTCGGGCCAATCGATTTCGAATCTTGAATTATCCGGTCTTACTGGTTTCAGATTAACTATAAGTCGATTTCAAGTTGGGTTTGAATCATACATTACCAGTCGACGTCGATTTCAAGTTACCTTCGAATTGACTCCAGATCAAATTCGAATAAGATCTAACAAGTTTGAAAACAGTTCAATTTCAGGTAAATCTTTTGGGTCGATAATTTTTGACACCCTAGTTATCAGCGTGAAAGTGAAGGACAATATAATCTGAATTTTCCAACATGAAAAAAGTCTAAGGACCCCATTATGGCATTATCAAACACGGTAAGAAGACTTGAAGTCAACTTTTTTGTTGTTTCTCTTTTTTCGATCAACTTTTTTGTTGTTAAGGGAAAGACTTTAAGTCAACTTAGTGAGCAAATATAAGATCAGATTTTAATATAATTTGTGGGATTGGTAGAATTTTCTAAGATACCAGGCTTCCATAGCATTTTGTATGGAAACTAGGTAGTATCTGTGCGATGTTCGGAATGTTAACTCGGTATATTTATGTTAAAAGTGATCGGTATTATTAAAAATAGGAAGGTGATAAAAAATGAAAACTAAAAATCACAAGAAGCAAAATACTACTACGTATAATTGAAATCATTAGTGTAACAATTTTGATTGGATAAACTTGGATAACAAACTAACCAATCAAATGGTAGCAAAAAAATATGAGGTTGTTATGAAATATTGGGTGGATGCATGTCTATTATCCTTCTTGTATCATTCAGAATACTCTAGATCAAGGGTTTATTGTTTCCATGTAAACCCTAATTGTATTGTATGTATATATCCAATCATATGGAATAAAGTTACATATTACTTCTCTCTCAATCTCTCTCATATTCCCTTTATTTTATAATACGTTATCAGCATTAAAGCTCTAAACCATGCATCAATTTAGATTAAAACCTAGCTAACCATCTAGATCAAGTTTCCGACGGACTCATCCGGTGCTGGAAAATCACTTCCAATGACTGATTTCCATCAAAAAAGTGTTTTCGAAGGAATTTCCGTCGGAAAAGATCGTTTTTCCTACAAAAACGTTTCCGACAATCAATTCCGACGAAAATTCTTTCAAAAACGTGTTTTTTAACGGATTTCAGGTGTTTCCATCGGAAATCGGCATATTTCTTAGTGTATTCAGCTTTATGGAACACATGACAAAAACACTTTGGTTGAAGGATGTGATGTATCTATAATGTAATATAATACATGTGGTTGTTAGTTGTTACCATATTTTGCAATAGAAATTAAAAAATTGAGTAGAACTATCAGCATAATATTAATAATAATAATAATTAATCGTATTCCTCCATAACCATAAATCACGGAAAATAGTCAATATAAATGCATGCACAAATCAAAATACTGCATGTATAATGAACGAAATTTTCACCATATACCCCGTAGTTTTTTGTTTATTCACCATATACCCCTAAACTTTTTTGAATTCATCATATATCCCCGAGTTTTCACAAAAATACACCATATACATACCCTTGATGAATAATGATTGTTAACTTCGTTAGTCATTAGGGTTAATTATGACCCGAAATCACCCTAAATACATCCCACTACCTCTAAAACCACCCTGATTCCTTTTTCCCACCCCCAAAACCACCCCAAATTTCTTTTTCTCATCATCAAAATCAATCATACTGACATGGTTATGGAGATTTGGAATGGTTTGGGGGTTTGAAGAAAGGAGAGGAGTGATTTCGGGGATGGAGCGAGAGACTTAGGGTGGTTTCGATGCATAATTGACAAAATTCCACTTATATTATTGTCATGAGGGGTATATAGTGAATTTTTATAACAAGTCAAGGATATATGGTGAAATAACCGTATAAAGGAAACAATATAGTATAATGGTTTGAAGACATTGGATATTGTCATGTAGAAACACCAGTGGTCTAGTGGTAGAGTAATTACCTTACCACGGCACAGGCCCGGGTTTGATTCCAGGCTGGTGCAAAGCTGTGAAGAATTCTGCGCATGATGTGGCACAGTAGGGGGTCCGCCACCATCTTCTGATCTACTTGAAGAAGCTAATGTGCATCTGAGCTTAACATTTTTTTTTACCATTTTTAAAAAATATATATTTTATTTGTTATTTTATTTATTTTGAAGTTGGATCAAATACCATAAACTTTAAAATTTTACATTTAAGTTTGTCAATGCACTATATTAATTAGTTCTTTCAAAGAAATGCAAAGAATGTTTGCTGATAGCTTGTAAATCAGGATAGCTTGTAATTAGTAGGGTCCGCCACCATCTTCTGATCTACTTGAAGAAGCTAATGTGCATCTGAGCTTAACATTTTTTTTTTACCATTTTTAAAAAATATATATTTTATTTGTTATTTTATTTATTTTGAAGTTGGATCAAATACCATAAACTTTAAAATTTTACATTTAAGTTTGTCAATGCACTATATTAATTAGTTCTTTCAAAGAAATGCAAAGAATGTTTGCTGATAGCTTGTAAATCAGGATAGAAATACAACTATTTGTTAACATGAGAATATATTTTTTTTATGTTACTCCGTATTAGGTAACAACGAACATGAGTAAGATATACATACTATATTTTTTTTATGTTACTCCGTATTAGGTAACAACGAACATGAGTAAGATATACATACATGTATGGGGATTTTCTTTAGTAGACTCTCCAATAAAACAACACGTGATAGAAATCAATACTCCATAGAATATTTACTTGTATAATTAAATTAGATAGAATATGAACACTCTTGAATTTCAAATAATTCATTCATATATCCAACTATGAATAAAAATTCACTGCATTTTTAGATCATCATCCCCAGGTTTCACAACTCAACTTATTTCATTTAGTTTTTCAATCAAACAAAATAATTTAATTAATTTTCTAATGAAATGCAAGTATAAGGAACAGATCGGTGATTGTTTCGTGTAGTAAGAGATCTTCAGTTTGTCCTCTCAATAAAGATCATTAGACTCTAAGTCGACTACTAACATATAAGAGAATTTATTTGTCATTATAATTGTAAGTCACATGATATTTTCCATGTTAGAATTGGATCACACAATAACATAAATTATATACAAATATTAATTAACATTTGAATTGCCCTTTCTAGTCGCAAAACTACAACTCAAGGGCTTTAATTGAAAACACATATATATTGTTTACATTATGTTTACAACTTTCTTCGTTTCACAATGTTCTTTCAAAATAAAAAGTATAAGAATGGTATTTATCGTACAAATAAGTACAATCAATGTCAAGAGCTAAGTAATTGGCGAACATTAATAGGTGAAATATCAGTAATATTCCCATCAATTAGACGTTTAGCAATCACTGTAATAGTGGCTTCAGTTGGATGAACAGGGTCCCAAAATGCGTACTTTGATCTATCACTGCAAACACTAGATGTTGGGTTACAGGGAATTAAATCCCCCAATAAACTCCCAACACCAGCGTTATGGCAACATGGTGAACCTATTATCTCCACACCTGTCATATTTTATCATGTAACAAAATTTAGTTATCATATTTGTATGATACAATTCAAAATTAAGGATGATATGTGGGTATTTTATTGCGGATTTCACAATATATTTGTCCTAATTGGAGTCGTTATGGTGGTTACACATTTATAGTGGACAAGTATGGATATCAAATACTATAAATAGTGGCTAGATGGTGGATTTGGAATCATATATACCCACTTCATACCCATCTATTTCTCCAATAATTGAACTGATCCCCACCTTACATCACAATTATTTTATAATTTTATAGATATAAATATATACTCCATAATTCTTCTAGGTTGGTATAGGAACTAGAAAGATACTAGGTGGTTCATATGTATTTAATCAACACTTATATGTGAGAAGTGGATATCTACTTAGGTGGTGGAGAAGGTGTGAATTTAGATCTATACTTACTTGGAGGGATATGGATATTGGATTATACCAACCATGTTAATTTTTTTGGTCCGGTATAAGGGAGGGGGTTTCCAAGCCACACCCACTCCGCTTGTTTAAGTTGTCATCCTTATTCAAAAGACTATTCACTTCTTAAGTTCAATTTTTTTTTTTCTTTTTTTTGACGGGTTCTTAATTTTAATCTTGCCTATATATGCTGAGGACATTGATATACATGCACTATACACATCCCAATTGTAGCAAACTTAAGTGTGCAAAAACATTGTCGAACTTTAGTTTTAAATTTACAAAATAAAAACTAAATGACATATATATGAATCGAAAAACATACCATATGATCGGTAATTATAGACGAAATCGGTAAAAATGCCGTAAGCATCTCCATAAAGGAACTTAGATCCCTTAAGGTTGCTGTTTAGCTCTGTAAGAAGGCTCTTTAATTGGACATTATATAATTGAGCTAGTTGATTAGGGTACGCAGCACATTGATTTCCCGAACATAGATTTATTCTTCTCTCAAACGGGGTGCAACCAATTTGTGGAACATTTGTCACTAATATTTTCCTAGCACCCATATTATAAAGCCTCTGTTCAATATCACATGAACCAACATTAGCTCATACAAACATTATTTTAGAGATGGTCCATAAATCTAACATTGTCCATTTGTACTAGGAATGAAGCAATATAAACACCATCGTTTAAACTAGTATATATGAGAGTTAATTAGTTATAGAAAGACTAGTATATTAACTATTATGTTGTACTTAAAAAATCACGTGAGTTACGTGGTAGTAGAATTAACATCTTGGATTTATCTCTAATTTAAGTACTATAAGAATTAATAGTCTAATAACTATTAGTAAAATAAAAAGATTTGATATAATGAAAATATTCATTATAACTAATTCAATTACATTTTACATTATATTTGTATATTATTAATAATTCTTAGTCAAAATCAGTGTATAAGTATGCAAAAATCAGAGTTATGCACTTATCAAAAAATATATAAGTATTATAACAAAGTAACAATAAACCTAATTTTTGCCAAAACGGCATAGTGCTCCCAGTTTGCTAATTAATGACATTCTAACTTTAATTCTTTTAAAGAAAATTATTGTAGAATCTTCATTAACGAGGTATTATTCGTTCACTGCCTAGAACTTTTAATTAGTATGTCCTCAATAATAACAGGTAAGTTTATTGTATATGTCTCACCGTAAGTTGTAGTCTAAATTTAGATATCATGGTATCTATGAAAGCGTCAGGCTGCATCAATATATGACCTCTGATAATAACTGGAAGTAAGTAATTAGCAATGAAATCATTGGCACCAATTACTACGGAAAAAAAGGCTTTATTCATAAGCTCGTTTGTTGCTGCTTCTCCTATTTGAGCGATGATATCTTGCTTTGTATTTGCAAAATTATCTAGTTGCGCGTCAAAATTTATCCTCCCAATCTAGCATGTGTGGCATGTTTATAGATTAGTACATATCTTAATCTAAAATAACACAATTGAAATATTTCATTGTGTTATAATATATGAAAAGAAGTTGTCACATTTTCTAAAATAATTCTCAGAGGAAGAAAAAAGGGGTGGCCTTACAAAAATGGAGCCAGTCTCGTTGAGAATTCCAGCACCACCAGAAGCATAATTGACCCCTTTCAAAATCACACTCCCTTTTGTTGTTGGAGCCAAGTATGGCGGGCTATTTCCAAATTTACCAAGTGTTTGGGCTAAATCCATTAAGTAAAAAAAAATATAAATAAATAAAAATAAATAAAATCCCTATTTATATGTATTGTCTTACCACAAAGCTATGCTACATGTTATGTTCTTTATTAATTACGAAATATTAAGTAAAAATTGGGCTTAAATTGATATATGATTTGGGCTTAAGTAACATTTTTATTAGGTGACAGGGCATCCTACAGGTTCGGTTCCAAAAAATCGAGAACCTGAACCGTAATCTATTGCAACATGTTCTCTATTTTATTACCCGGAACTGGAACCGGAACCTCTTGTACAGGTTTCGATTCCGAAACCTGCAATTCTTAAAAGGTTCTGGTTCCGATTCAGGGTACTCTGAATTTTTGATCACCCCTATTTAAGATTATGAATAAATATTTGATGTCTTTCTTAATTTATATTTACACCGTATATTAAAAGACGTTCCAAATGATGTATATGTGCCACGTGATACTCTCCTCCATTTCTTTCTTATTAAATGTGTTACATGTCACTCTCCTCTTTTTGTTTCTTATTGCATGATGTCATCATTATAAAATAAAAAAAGATTTAGAACCTCTACCTCTAAAACTAAGTGTCTTACCATCAAGCTACGCCATATGTTATGTTCTTTATCAATTACAAAATATTAATATTTAGTGGATTAAAATATGAAAAAACAAATTAATTACAAAAAATTGAATCCTTAATTTAAATGTATACTAATAATCGACCACATTTATTTGACGTGGGGCATTACACGAGATAAAATACTAGTTTGGTATTAATTTAGAAATGCATGACAAAATCACATACAAATTAATAATATTAAATTAATTTTTGAATACCTACATACTTCGTATAATTTTACGTGTTCATGTTTATATAAAAATATTCGAGAAACAAGGGGTTCTTGGAAGAAAAAAAAAGACGCAATCTTTAAAACGGAGGAACACATATAAGAACACAACAGAGGAAATTGTACAATACTCATGTATATAAAGCTTGCCTATAATGTCAATAACGGTGCGTCCATTGGTAAATCTTCCCGTCGGTCCTTCGTAATCGATACCATTAGGCATGGAATTCGCCTTAAGAAGGGACACAATGTAGTTGTTGTTTCCTACATCTACGTCAGAATCTCCGAACACAAAATTTGCTATTTGTTCTTCTGCTCCATAACTTCTATGATTGCTAAGCATACTTAAGGAAATGAGCATCAAGATAATGAGTGTTCTTTGTTTGTTTTGAAAACTACCCATTTTCTAGCAAATCAAACTAAATTGAACATAATTGAAAAAATAAACAAAAAATTGCAAGAAGAAATACTCAAGTTTTAAATTTTGAATAAAGTTAAGAAAATTTTCAGACAATTATACAAAGGAAAATTTTAGAAAGGGATAAAAATATCCAACCCAGCTAAGCTGCCATTAGGCATTAACAGATTATTCTGATTAGGATAATTATCCTGTAATGATCCTGTAACAGATTATTTTTTTTTTTTTTTTTTGGTGAGGGATGAAGTAAAAATTGTACAGAGTATTAATATGATAAAAATATATTATGTGAGACCAGACTCAAAGTGACTTTATTTTTTTTGGATAGGGAGGGGTGATTTCATTAAATATTGATAGTCATTGTGCAATTACAATCATCCCTTAAGAGATCTAAATTCTAAATATAAAACAACTCTAAACTAATTACACAATTAAATTTTGACATTTTTATACTCACTTCATTCTTTCCTAAATAATTAACACATTTGACCTTTTTTTTTTATTATTTATATAATTAGTTTGACCATCGTTTTTTAGTTAAGTATAAAAAACATATTTTATCATAAAATATATTGTTAAACAGATATTAATATAAGTTTCATGATATTATCTTTCAAAATATTTCCCTCAAAAAAAATAAAAATATTTACTAACATTTAATTATATCATGTACAGTATATATTTTAAGATCAAATTAGTACATTGACATGTATGCTAAATTTGACTGTGTCAATTTATTAGAAACGGAAAGAGTAGATTTTGACTCTTTTAAATTGGATATTTGACATTATAATATCATATTTTGACGTTCTAGAATCAAATTTTTACATATTTATTTATATGAAATTTTGATGTTTTTGTATCAGATTTTAATATTATTTTTTTACATTTATTTTTCACATTTTAGAAATAGATTTTACCTACATATATCAGATTTTAACTCATTTACATCCGATTTTGACAGTTAATATCATTTTTTCGACATTTATTTTATCAATTTTTGACTTCAGTTACATCATATTTCAATAGTCTAATATCAGATTTTGACAATGTTATACGTAGATTTTTAACATTCTAATCAAAACTCCTTTAGAGACGCAACAAAATAACTAATAGATAGTTTTCCACCATTTCTTTTCTCACTCCTCATGTAACAAATTAATCAAAATCTCCATTCTAATTAATTTGAGGTTTTTAATTATAGTTTCAATAATACAAAACTTCCTCCCCTAATGAAATTAAAATTAACAGTGTATGCATCAAATTAATCGAATTAATTATGATCATATTATTATACGCAAGAGGCTAACTGATACCACTGTATGAAAATATTAGATGCACTTAGCGGAATTTCAAGAAACAATTTCTTAGCATCTAAAACAGGATCACATGCATATAATAATATGAATCATAAGATTAAAATACTATACCCTTGATGCGTAATTTCCACAAAGCAAAAGGGCACTTCTTTCTTCAATTAGAGATCTTTAGAACATCAATTGTCGTTCCTCTAATGTTGGTCCACGAGCAATGAATGAATCTCCACGTATGCTACTACGGAATAAGGAACAATTCCTTATTGCTTTTACTGGAGGTTATGTGAGAGAAGTTTTGTGATTAATGAAAGATGTAATGATTCATTAAAGTCACTTAGTCATATTTATAATAGACCATCACAACTCTTCACATAATTGCATCTCTTCACATAATCACATCTCTTGGGCATTAATGCCTATTCATGCATATTATTTCAATCATATACTCATATGTGTGACCTCATAGGACCGGATTATTATTAGCAGTAAACTAATCGTATTAGTTCACAGATCATAGTTGGTTTCTAGCAAAACGTTATGATTACCTAAAATAACCGATTATAATTAATATCCATATTTGTCCTAATTATAATTAGTAATTACACTTAATCGACGGAGATTTCCTTCAAATTTATAAGCAAAATATATATTGTAAATTTTCTCAGACTTGTTCAATTTGAGTGGGATCAACGCTAATCTTAGCTTATGCACGTCGATCTCTCTCATAACTCATCTTGATCTTTCAATTTCTAACAATCAACTTGCTGGTCCTATTCCTACTGCTATTAGGAATATACGTTATCTTCCATATCTTTTAAGTTGGGTCTGAGTACAGTCGGGTACAAATCGAATTCGGATCAAGTCAAATTCGAGCCAAGTCAAATCGAGTTCATATGAAATTGGATCCGAATTTTTTCAACTTTAGTTGGATCAAAATGGATTTATTAGACATTGGATCAGATCATTTTGGATTCGATAAGATCTAGGTTCAATTCAATTCAATTTCGGTTAAAATTTGGGTAGGCTTACTTCAATTATTAGCTCATTTTCGATTAGAATTATTTTAGTTTCGATTATTGGGTTGTGGAATATGAATTCGGATTAATCTCAGCTTGAGTCATTTTAGTTTCAGGTATATTAGCATATAGGTAATGTGATCTTTGTTATTAGAGATTTCAATTCATATTTACTCTGTATAATTTTTTTAGGTTACATTTAAGTTTTGTGTTGGCTTTTTCAGAATTGGTATAAGATTGACAACTCAAGTCATTAAAGAAAATGATTACTTATCGCCTTATTTGGTGTTTATCATGTCATTGTAAAACACTTTTTTTCTTACCATTTTGCATTTATCATCTTTCCGGCTATTAATCATCTTCAATTATTCATTAGCAACTCATCGGTTATGGTCATGGAAAATTTAATTTGGCTTAGGTTATAATTAATAGGTTGGGTTTAATTAGACCATGAGTAGTTTCGGGTCGATTTTAATCGATACATGTGAAGTTTCAAGTCGGATAAATAAAGGTCGGGTAAATAAAGGTCTGGTAAAAAGAGATATTTTTCAAGTCTAGATGGTTTCAGGTAGTTTTCGGTTCGGGCCAAATCGATTTCGGATCTTGAATTTCCGGTCTTATTGGTTTCGGATTAACTATGAGTCGATTTCAAGTTGGGTTTGGATCATACATTACCGGTTGAAGTCGGTTTCAAGTTAACTTCGGGTTAACTCTAGATCAAATTCGGATAAGATCTAACAAGTTTGAAAACAGTTTATTTCATATAAATTTTTCGGGTCGGTAAATTTTTGACACCGTGAAAGTGAAGGACAATAAAATCTGAATTTTCCAACTTGAAAAAGTCTAAGGGACCCCATTATGGCATTATCAAACACGGTAAGAAGACTTGATGAAGTCAACTTTTTTGTTGTTTTTTTTAGATCAACTTTTTTGTTCTTAAGGGAAAGACTTGAAGTCAACTTAGTGAGCAAATATAAGATCAGACTTTAATTTGTGGGATTGGTAGAATTTTCTAAGATACCAGGCTTCCATAGCATTTTGTACGGAAACTAGGTAGTACCTGTGAGATGTCCGAGATGTCAACTCGGTATAATTGAAATCATTAGTGTAACAACTTTGATTGGATAAACTTGGATAGCAAATTAACCAACTAAATGGCAACAAAAAATTAGGAGGTTATTATGAAATATTGGGTGGATGCCTATTATCCTTCTTGTATCATCCAGAATATAGAATTAGAGTTTATTGTTATCCAAGTAAACCCTAATTATATTGTGTATATATATATACCCCAATCATATGGAATAAAAATACATATTATCTCTCAATCTCTCTCCTATTCCCTTTATTTTATAATACGTTATCAGCATTAAAGCTCTAAACCATCAATTTAGATTAAAACCTAACCATCTAGATCAAGTTTCGTTCCCCAATAAATACTTCGATTCACTGCCAAATATTAATACGAGTGAGCAATGTGCGCCACCCTTAAGTGAGTTAAATCAAAGGGAATCTATTTCCAATTGATAAATATAATTGCATATTGCGTATAATTATACTCATTGATTTAAGGTTTTATTTGCTTATAATTGCATATAATGCTGATGTGCCATTATATATCTATGGAATAATGGAAATATATTACACGCATTATATGATGTCGTGATGACTCTAAATGGGGTATTAGCAAAAAGCATTGAATTAAGTTTTAGTATTTTCAAGATTTTTCTAATAAACCCACAAGCAACATTCGGGCTACAACTTTGACATCCGATGAGATTATGTGGGAAAGTTGACTCGAAGGCCATACAACATCATGTATAATTAAGAAGACGGAAGACAATTGTAGGCGTATAGTGTACATCTTATTAAATGAATGCAAGCAATCAGGAAAGTTCCTTCTCAATTTATCATCGTAAATCTCTAAATTTACATAATATGTTTATTATGTTGCCACTTTTTATTTTACATATGTTTATTATTATGATGCTCTGCTTGGCATTGTGGGATGAGTTGATTTAGTTTTTGAGACTAATTAACATTAGTATTAGACAGAGGATGAATCTCCTATTAAAAGTATATAAAGAAGCACTGACTAAAATATATGTGCTTTATTATATATTAGGAGGGTGATTGATTTAACAATAATACCAATGTTTAAATGGAGTGAATTGATATTGGACAAATCTCCAATTAGAAGAAATAAATCAGCAATACAGACCAATTATGCTATTAAATTACGGTCTAGTGTACAAGAAATCAAACTAGCTACTACAATAATATGATAGATCAAACCCTGATCACTCTTGATTTTGCTTAACAATCACCTGATGATTCATTTATGTTGTTGGGTCTCCTAACTATATCCAAAACAAATATCTTCCGTCATATATAGTTCTTCATAACTGTATCTTTTGCCCAATTCAACAATTTTCATGAGAGTTTTTCTTTAGAGACCATGGTTTTCTTGATTGTTGTTCTATTTATTTTTTATTTTTTTTTTAGTGTTTGTGGACTATATTGAATACTATAAAAACGTTATAATTCCATATGTGATAGATGATAGCAAAAAATTTAATCTAATGTAGTAGTATGTACTCCTTATCTGTATTTTTTTTTTCGAATTAGTACTCCTTATCTGTATAATACTCCGTGATATATAAATCATGTAATTATTTTTGCAATTTAAAAGTGAGTGAAATAATCAGTAAAAAGTTGTAAACCTTAGCTTAAGCACGTCGATCTTTTTCATCATAACTCACTTTCAGTCCCATTCCGGCCAAATGCCTTTGGAAAAATGCTTACCCTTT